GGGTTGGGGGAGGGAGGAGAGGTAGGCAAAGGCGGAGGAAGCAGCTACTGCCTGAAAATGAGCTCAAGCCACTGGAGGGGGGACTAGGGCAGGGTCTGACAGCCACCGAGGGCTGCACCCCCTCTCCAAAATGTGTCTTGCAAACAGCAACCCGAGCTGTCCCGCGGCGCTGTTGGTTTTTACTTCTGCTGCCGTGTTTTCGGCACACATAAAGCGTGTCCCTTTAAGTCTCTGCACCTTTTATTTCAGATTAGCAGGAACACGAATGAACAGATGCAGCATCTCCCCAAGAGAGCACAGTGTGTGACTTGCTCTGCTGCAGCAGCCATCTTGAAGCAGAAATCTGTATCCGAAAATGGAGGCCCTCCAAGCTGATGGGCCGGCAAGGTCCTCAGGAAGGTAATGGGACAGCTGCCTTCACAGTTTCACTGCAGCACACTCCGCGAGAGAGCTGCAAGGCATGGCCCATACAGAACGACAGACACAGCTCTCTCAACCTGCTCCTCCGCTCCCCTCAACTTACCGATACGAGCTGCATTAACCTGGCTAGCAGCCGTGCTGCCGCAGAGACAGGACTATCAGAGATCACTCCTGGGCTGGCAAGGAGAGAATGCACCTGGCCTTTGCACTGCAGACACAGAAACAAGGGTACAGGGGCAGCCTCAAATCACCCCCAGGGGAGATGCCCCATCTCTTAAGCGCAGCACGTACACACCGGACCGGATGTTCAGTGGATGCAAACTGGCATCGCTCCATCACAGCAACATGCACCGAATTTCCACCCAATGAGGATCAGGCCCCCTCTCTCTCGACACCCAGCATGGTGCAGAATTGTGCTCCTGCTCCTTTGATCCCCTCCCTGGCACTCTGCTCTCTGAACCATCCCCCAGGCTTACTTCTCACACTCCAAACACCTGAGCAACGGTTAACACCTGCCTTTCCCCCTTTGGTAAACTCAGCCTGCTACCAAAAAACACTTCCCCTAAAACGTGAAACTTTCTTGCCAAACTTACACTGGCCCAGGACAGGTGCTATCCGGAGCAGGCTCAATGACTGGGTTAAGGGCACAGGGAATAAAATAGATCAATACTGAATTTGCATTTCCAGAGGGAAAACCCCAAGTTTTAAGAGCCTCTCATGTCTCAATCGACCCAAGAGAGACTCACCGACTCTCATGTTCTGAACAGAACAGCATCCCCCTCCTCCCCTCCCCAGTGTCTCTGTGGGAAGAACCATACCAACATTAACAACAATTACTTGGGATGCTTACACAAAAGCTTCTACAAACCCCAAGGCACTTTACTAACCATAAATTGTGCCAAACCATCTCTGTGATGCCTGTAGCATTATCCCCATCTAACAGGTGGGGAAACAGAGACTGGCCCAGGATCATAGAGCAAGCCAGCGGCTGAGCTGAGACAAGCACCCAAGAGTCCGGACCACTAGACAATACTCCTTCGTGAGCGCACATACGTTCTGTCCCGCAGTCTGGGAGCCGTCGCGCAGCCCGGTACTACCTTCTGCCCACTGGCAGGCTCTCACAGCTTCCACCCAGTGTTTGTTAAAGGCAGGAAAGAAGGGTTGAGAAAAGGCAACCCAAGGGGTTAAACTTCCAAGGAGGACAGAACCAGAGCCATTTTCTTCACTTGCCAACTGACAAAAGCAGCAGCTCAATCTTTATGGGGCTGGTGAGTTCGCAGGGCTCCAAGCCACACCCATAAATCCCTACATGGAACACTCTCTCTCCATTCTGGGGATCTGCACAGTGCCCATCACTGCAGTATCTGGGCACGTAGCACATAGACACAGAACCTTCTCCACATATAAGAAGCCTCTGGACCCTTCTCAGCAACGTGGCTTTAAAAGGCCAGTCCCCATCTCTCTTCCGCACACAAGCACATTTTGTTTGGACTCTGATTAACTTTCATTTGACTCCATCCACAGCGACCTGCCTTTAAATGAAAGCTCGCACTGATCTCACTTTAATTGGCCTGACATTTTGCTAAACAAAATAAAAAAAAAATGAAACAAAACAAAGAACCCTTATAACGTTTAATTGGCTGTGGCGCTTTGTCTACCTAGTCAGTCGAGCCTTTTCAAAGCCTGCCGAGGTCTCCGAGAAATGTAAGAGCACATGCATAATAAGGTTATGTGCTATTCAAGTCAGCAAGCAACCTGTCCTGGGATGCAATTACACAAGGTAGTGGGGACGAGGCGACAGTTCAGACTCTGGATAGTTCTGCACATTCACTCTGGATTAATCGCCTGCGCTTTGTACCTGCATTTTATTGAAGTATTTTGTTTGAAGTTGCTCTTTTCAATTAATCAATCCACAGGAGAAATTAACACATGTGAGGGAAGGGAGGAAAAGACCTTGGTGAAGGGGCTACCAGAGCCAGTCTGTTCATTTCATTTTTTCGACCAATTTTGAATGTCTGAGTCCTGCCTGGGAACTGATAAGCGCCGGGTGCAGGGATTCAGGAATGTCAAGCTAGGGAGGCCAGCCCCAGCTGGAGTTGGGGCGGCCGCATGGCCCAGGCTAGGGCAGACTCAATCATGTGTATTTTGTAATGAAAACATTTGTGCATGCAAATACAAATAGGAGACCCTGGGTGCGGTAAGCACCATTTAAAGCTAGTGGAAATAATCCCCCAATTCCTACCAAACCTGAGCACAGCCAGATTCAACATGCTGGCAGACAGCCTCAAGACGTGGGACAGGCTGGGCCTGGACCAGTCAGTGGGTCTAAAACCTCTGTCCAACCCCTGCCAGTCCCCAAATATGCCACCATAAGGGTCTGATCCTATGAGCCCTTATGCACAGGAGTAACTTTATTCATGTGAGTAGTGCCATTGAAGTAAATTAGACAGGCATAGATTTACTCACATGTATTTTCTGGATTGAGGCTTTATAACCAACTGGCTGGGGGGAAGATGTATCTTAAATAATAAAAATCATGAAGGGACAGATCCTGAAGTCCTCACTCAGGCAAAGCTCTGATTGACTCCATGAAGAGTTGTGTACGTGCAAGGACTAAGGGGAAAGCGTGGGCCATTAATGGCTAGCCTGTCCAGACTGCCTTTCTCCCCGTGGATCTCAAAGCACTTTACTTGTGCTCATTAGCTTACCAAAGCCGTGCAGGGCTCAGCACTGGAACGGAACAGGACAGCTGTTTAGCCACACACAGCAGCGCTACGCTCTTTAAAGGCAGGAAGTACCAACCTGTGAAATTCGGTGAATAAATAGCTCAAAAGGCTCGCTGCAGCCCTGAGTGATATTGTTTCACAGCCTGGTAATAAAGCCCTGAACATCTGACGATCTGTAACGGAGCCGTGACACGATCTTAACTCGAGTGACATGAGTGAACCACTGCAGTAATGGGCACAGTTGGGATATTCTTCTGCTTCTTTCAGATTTAAGCTCTTGCAACAACAAAACTAAACCAAAAGGAGCTGGAGATTATCTATTGCACTGACAGCAGCGAGCGAGGAATCCAATACCGCGTGCAGGGCGAACAAGGTGTCTAACAACACTGCCAGGCCCATGCGCAGGGAGTTAGCAAAGCTATTTCCCTGCCTCCTTTCCCCTCGGATGATGTAGATTGATTGCCTGGTTTTATTAAGGACAAAGTGTTTTTTGATAGTGTAAGGGAAGCAGCTCCCCGGGGATAGGAATCAATCCCTCTTTCAGCTCCCTCTGCATTGATTGCCAGGAATTCGAGTGCTGGTCTGCCGAGGCGGGAAGGACTTTGCGTGCGATAAAGAATCTCCAAATATAAAAGGAGGGAGGGAGCTATCAGATGACACTGCCCCGAGCTGGCGGAGACACACCGCTCCAGCGAGGAGAGCTTGGCCCGCAGCCAGCACACATGGACTGAGCCGCGCAGCGATCCCCTGCACCAGGTAGCAACACATAGGATTGAAAATGACCAGGTGTCGTCTTTAGTGCCCAGGAGTTTTGGAACTTTACCCTCCACCCGGCCCCCGGGGATTCGATTTAAGACCTAGCTGGGGCATGAGGCAGTGGGGGAGAGTCACAGGCCCAGAGACGCAGGGGACATAAACCCACCTAGACGCTGCATTTCTCACTCCCCTCTGCTTGCCAACCCCCCCAGCACACTAGGTGCTGTACAGACAGGAGACAAGGCACCCCCTGAAATCTAAGAAAATTTGACCCCCAAAACCAGACGTTGAGATGCAATCCTGGCAGCCTGTAAAGGGCCCCACTCACCCCTGTAGAACCCCACTGATCCCCTCACCAAGGGCAACTGTCCCAATGAATAAAAACACTCTGCAGCATAATCACTCCCACAATGGCCCCAGGATCTCTCTGTACCAGCCATTCAGCTCTCTGGGTGCCCCTGCTGGTGGGGGGAAGGTCCCCCTAGGGAGAGCTGATCAACAACATTTGAAATTTGGATGACATTCTTTGTCAAAATTTCCAACGGGAAAAATTTTCTATGAAAATCAAATAACCTGACAGACAACCTCCAAGGCCCGTGTTCGTGCAACGTCCTGCTGCGAAGCAGCAGGGACCACCTCCACTGTTACGTAGTCTGTGCATTCCACGGAGACCCTCGAGCCGGTTTCCCCAGCTCCCTAGGTTTTACCACACACACGTCTCCAATGCCTGGAGTCTCTCTTCTCTCTCTGGTGTTTCTAGGGACTCTGCATTCCAATTTCCTGAGCTCACTGGAACGCCGGCTTTCCTGGCATCCCGGCCGCACCCTGACGCCCAGCACACAATGTGGCTCCTCAAGTAACTGACCACCTCTCTTCCCCACTGTGCTACTGTCCTTTCCCCACATTTGCTCTCTCCCTCCAAACGTTGCAGGCCACAAAGATTAGGGGGCACGTCAAACACTGCGTCTGTTCCCTGCTTCCCCTCATCTTTCCTCCCTGCATTCAATTTGAGGGGGGGACTTCTCCCCTCTGCCCCCTGGCTGGTTCGCCCCTGCTCTCCCCACCTCGGCCGCGCTGTGAAATGGCTGAGTTACTTACTCTTGACGGTGAGGAACATGGACTTGCTGATGTCCGTCCCCACGCCATTGCTGGCCTGGCAAAGGTAATAGCCGATGTCCTCCTCCAGCACGTGGCGAATGAGCAGTGAGCTGTTGGGAAGGATTTGAATGCGGCCCGTGAGGGGCACAGGATGGTACTGCTGGGGGTTCCCGCTTCCTAGGAGGAGACACAAAGAAACAATCCTCAGAGGACACAGCTAAGGCAGAGAAGGTTTAGGGGCACCTGAGACTGGTATTGTCGGTTGCTTTGAAATGCCCCCCAGATTTCTAACGCGTCCCCCTCAGCCTTCCCTGACATCCCTCTACCCAGAGGCATTCAAGAGAAGACAGCTGCTATTGCTGGGAGAGTCCCATAGAGAGCATGAGCTCCCGGCTGGGTCTGCACGCTCGGCTGCCTGCCGCGCGCAGGCTCAGAACCCGGCTCGCACCACCGTCCACGATGGCGGGCGGATAAAAGACGTAGGCCACCAGCAAAAGTGGCACCAGACTGGCTTCACCGCCCTCCACAGCACAGAAGAAGGGGGAAATAGCCATGCCTGCTGGGGAGAGGGAGAGATTGAAATGTGTCAAGCTTCACAATGGCACCCCCAGAACGGCATCCAAGCGCCAGCAGCAGCTGCGGTAGAAGAGTGAACTTCCAGGCCGGACAGGCTGAAAAGCCCCAGGACAGAGATGCGAGGAAAGTCTGGTTACAAGACGCTGACCTGCGCTGGGATTTTACAAACCATCAGCGCTCTCTCCCATGAGCCCTTGCGGATGGGCCCCGAGGGCTTAGCGCTATCGGCACCATGCTGTGCCAGGGTGCGTGTGGCAGGGAGGGGCTGCAGCCCATAGGGGCCAGTGGAGAAAAGGTTTGCTATTCCCTTTCTAAAATGCCTGGTCAGTCTCCTCAGCTCTCCTCTGGAACGGGCTCAGAGGCTGGTGCAAGGAGGAATACACATATGCAGGCTCCATGCACAGCCATGTGTGGCACGCTTACAAGTTGGCCCCTTCACACGATGGGCTCTTGCACTAGCGGTGCGGGTGGGATCCTAGTGAGCTATAATCCCAGTTGAGCCATATCACATGCTGTCTAGCACCCCCTTGCTAAGGCAACTACCGGATAGTGACTAGTCTTGAGGAGAGCCCCTGTAAGGGCTGTCATGGGATAGGAAACCCCCACAGAGAGGAGAGGCCACAGCTGTCGCCATGTGGCTTTTCACTGCTCAAGTGTCCCCTTCGCCCAGGCAGAGCAGCAGCCGCGAACGGGCCCTTCCCCCAGCCAGGCGTCACACGCGTGAGAGACCATAGCTCACACCTACCTTTTGCATGCTTCCACATGACCTTGGGAGGGGGATACCCATCCACAGAGCAGTTCAACACCCCTGCTTTGCCATAGATGCCGTCCTGGTTGTTGGGCTGGACCACGAAACGAGGCGGCACTGGGGAAAGTGAAAGAACAGCATGATCACCATGGCTCTCCGCGGGCTCATCTCGCTGATTCAGCAGCACACGCCTCCTACCCATACCGCTGCAGTCTCACCGGTGCTGTCTCTGTCCCGCTGCCTCCTTTCAAACCCCACCTGCAGCGCTCTTTTCTCTCCCATCTATGCCTCTGAATGTCTCTCTCCTCCTGCCATCCTCTACCTCCGTCTCACTCACCCCCAAAGAGGGCACAGGCTGCTTTGGTTTGCAACTGCCCCGCCCGGGAACAAGGCCCTAACAACAGATGATGCTCAGAGGACAGAACTACAAGCGTGCACAGCCACGCCAAGCCCCAAGCTCTCACCTCGCACGATCAGCTGCCGCTCACGGCTGACGGTGGCGGCGGCGTTGCTGGCGATGCACGTGTAGTTGCCGTTGTGCTTGAGGGAGACGCTGGAGATCTGCAGGGAGCTCATGAACTCTTTGCTCTCAATAGTGACCCCCGAGCCAGAGATGATCACCTGCCCATCCTTCCGCCAGGTGATGCGGATGGGCATATCCCCCGAGGAGACCACGCAGGGGATGTAGAGGAGCTGGCCGATGGAGGCCGGTGGGAACTCGAAGGGCTGGATCAGGGGAGGGACTGGCAAGGCAAGGAGCAAAACAATGAGGAGCCTGGTTTGGAAGAAGGACCCAGAATCATTTTAAAATTCATCCTGAAAGTCACTGGGGCAAATTCAGCCCTGTGGGGAGTAGACCCAACTCCAACAGCGTCCAAGGAGCTGCTGCGCCCACTCGCACTGTGGGGAACCGAACCCAGCACCTTCCTTGTGGCCACACAATGTGCCCCGTGAGCCCCACTCACGGTGGGTGTATCGGTTCCATTTTGCTGACCCACCATGTCATGCCAGGGCAATTTAACATGCCTTTAAGGGGCCCACCTGGCCACAAGTTGAGGGGCTCTGTGCCATGAGTAATGTTATGTCTCATGGCGACATCTGTGACAAATCTATCATCACATCAGCCAAGATGGCCCTCATTGCTGGAAACAAGGAGGTTTTTATTCCAACAGTTCGCACTCTCAGCAGAGGGTGAAAGATGTCTATGAGTAGGGAACTAAGGGACACTTCATCCATCTCAAAGAACCACAGTCTACGTTAGATACAGACAAATCCCGAGGGATCAGACCCACCAGGCACCCACATGGGAAGGTCTGCACTGAACCCCTCTGCGAGTGCTGGCTGAAATTCCTCCGCAGCGTTTATCTGCTGCTAGCAAAGCACTTTGATGCTTTTGTTGAAGACAAAGGCTACCAGATCAACCATTATCTTTATGAGAACTTTAGGGCTTGTCTCCACTTCAAACGCGGCGCTGCTGTAGCACCTCAGTGAAGACACTACCTACACCAAGGGAGGGGTTCTCCCCTTGGCAGAGGTAATCCACCTCCCTGTGGGGCCGGAGCTAGGTTGACAGGAAAATTCTCCTGTTGACCCAGCGCTGTCTACACTGGGGGCGAGGTCGGTTTAACTGCGTCGCTCAGAGGCGAGGATTTTTCACACCTGAGAGAGTGACGATGTAATTATACCAACATAATTTCCTAGTGTAACCCATGCCTGAGACAACGGCAGTATCTCCAGCCAACGGCAGGAGGGGAAGGCAAGGAGCAAGAGGTAGACAATTGGCTTAACAAGGCCCAGCACCTGGTAGATGCGCTCTCCTTTCAGCAGGCTCCATAATTAAATTAACCGGCTGCCAATTGTCTCCTTGGCAGAAATAAGACGCCGTTTTCTTTGAAAGCTGAAGCCCCTAACCGGGAACTGATCCACATGACACAACATGTGCACCTTCAGCTCCTTTCTTCTCTAGCTATCCAGGGCCCATCATTGCCGTGCCTGGCCCCAGTAAGGACAGGGACGGAGCTCTGAGAGGGGGTGCGGAGACAGAGGTGGGGAACCATCCATTCATGGCATAAATCATTGTTAACGTGTTCTCTAGTGAAACACTATTTTCACACACACCGTGAGTGGGAGCCTCCCGGGACGGTGGCATTGCTGGGGGCATGGATGGGGGACAGGAAGGTCTCAAGCAGAGATTGGGGAGGCAATCTGTATGTGTCACCTTCCCAGCACTAGTCCCTCCCTGCAGGCCGAAGTGGAGGGAGAGGTTGGAACAGGTGAGTGTGACAGGAAGGGGGCTGAAAGCACTGGTGTCCAAAGGTGATTCTAGCACATCCTCTGCAAGTGTGCAAGCCTGAGTGTGTCCATTGCACTCTTCCCAAGTCAGTCCAGCAGGCCCTGGCGTTATCCCCCTGCTTGGTTATGCTGAGCTTGCATTTCAACCCTTGTTCTCTTCCTCACTTTCAAGCTGCCCATCCTCCCCTCTTTGAGCCAAATCTTTAGTCACGGGAACTTTAACAGCAGAATGCCAATACTACTAAGAGCCTTTTGCTGGCATCTTCTGTTTGAGGATTAATGAAGGCTCCCACCCTCCAACGATGTAAGACAATATCACTACCCCATTGTACAGATTGGGAAGACTGAGGGCCTGGGAGGTAACCTGTCTAAGGCTACGTGCCTGTGGCTGATCTGGAAACAGAACCGAGGAAACCTGGCTCCCGCTCCCTCCCATAGCCTGACACCGCTCTTTCGTGGTGATGAACTCAAACTGGAACGGGTACAGAGAAGGGCCACTAGGATGATCCGAGGAATGGAAAACCTTTCGTATGAAAGGAGACTCGAGGAGCTCGGTTTGTTTAGCCTAACCAAAAGAAGGCTGAGGGGAGATATGATTGCTCTCTTTAAATATATCAGAGGGATAAATACCAGGGAGGGAGAGGAATTATTTCAGCTCAGTACTAATGTGGACACGAGAACGAATGGATATAAACTGGCCGTGGGGAAGTTTAGGCTTGAAATTAGACGAAGGTTTCTAACCGTCAGAGGGGTGAAATTCTGGAACAGCCTTCCGAGGGAAACGGTGGGGGCGAAAGACCTCTCTGGCTTCAAGATTAGGCTAGATAAATTTATGGAGGGAATGGTTTGATGGGATAACGTGATTTTAGTCAATTAGGCAATAACGTGCCATCGCTGGTAAAATGAGGGTCCGGCTGGAGAATCTTGCCTGTATGCTCGGGGTTCTACTGATCGCCATATTTGGGGTCGGGAAGGAATTTTCCTCCAGGGTAGATTGGCAGAGGCCCTGGAGGTTTTTCGCCTTCCTCTGCAGCATGGGGCAGGGGTCGCAAGCTGGAGGATTCTTGAAGTCTTTAAATCACGATCTGGAGACTTCAACAGCTGAGTTAAGGGAAAGTGGGTGGATCAGCTTATGTGGCCTGCATCATGCGGGAGGTCAGACTAGATGACCATAATGGTCCCTTCTGACCTTAAAGTCTATGAGTCTATGAGTCTATGAGTGGTAGGCGGGAAGGAAGCCAGAGCTAACATTATTCCACAGGCCAGTGGCTAAATGAAATGCAAGGAGGTTCTGGTTTAGCCGCTTTCTAACAACAAGAGCATCTCTCCCTTCGTGGTTCTGAGATACTGCTCCCTCACCACACCCCCATGGTGCAATGCCATGACAGCTCCTCTCCTGCCATCCTATACAGTAGTCAGTGAATTGCAGAGAACAGGAGGTAACCAGATAACTGCTACCCTGCTCGCAGCTTCCCTGAAACACAAACTGCAGCAAAGGAGCCAACAGTGCAAAGCACCAGGCTCAGTCCAAGCACTGGGATGTCCTCTTTGGTGCCCTGGGAGCAGATAAAGGGGGGAGAACCTCTTTCCAATGGGACTAGGCTGCTCCATTAGCTCAGCTGCAGAGGAATGACTCAAGAAGCTGGAGCCATGGAGCCAGCAGTGCCTGTTTTCCATAATTAATGAATAATTAATTGTGTATGCTCTGCAGTCTATTGCAGAGGGGAGGAGGGTTTGTGTATCCGTGCAATACTCTCTCCCAGCACACCCCACAGGCCTCTTTAAACACCAACAAAACAACGCAGCCCCAGCAAGAATTCAGCAGAGGAACTCCCAGGTTCTAACTCTCCTTGACACCAGCCTGCGCTTAACGGGTTTTTTATATTCTACATTAACTTCTTGATGTTGGGACAACTACGAATTCTCCTCCCTCTGGAGCTCCCGCGTGCTCAGCAAGAGCACAACGCAGCTATGGCAGCTCAGGAAAGGGATCACAAATGCACGAGCCCGTTTACTCTACAGACCTGGGTTTCAAAGCCTGGTAATCCACAAGGGGATGTGGGGGGTCTCATCCCAGACGGTGGAGCCAGCACGCCCGATTGGAATTAACTGGGCAGGGGTGTGCAGGTCAGGCCTGAAGTGACGCCGCAGGGCTGGGAGAGTCACAGAAGTGGGTGACACGGCAGTGCGGGTGAGGGAGCAGGTGCACTGGTGTTCAGGGATTCCTTCGCGGAGAAAGCTTGTGAAAGTGTAAGCCCAGTCCAGACTTGGCTCTGAGTATCGCTATTTAAAATCATGAGCACCAAATCCACACACAATTAGGTTAAAAGAAGGGTGGAGGTTTAGTCTGCTGCCTGGAATAGTGAGCACAGCTGTTAGAGCGGATCCCAGGGGAGGAGGACGCTCTGACAGTGCTGTCAGAGGAGACAAAGAGACCACTAAGGACAAGAGGTCCCAGAGACAACAGCTGATGGCTTGTGGGGTTCAGGGCTCCATGTCTCCCAGAAGCTGCAAGAACTTGGATGAGCAAGAAGGCTGGGCCACGAAAGAGACAGGGATTCTAAACGACATCGCACAAATGAAATCAGAGCGGGATTTGGGGGCTGGAATGTAAAACTGTTGGAGCCTAAAAGCGACACTCCATGGAGAGTATGAGAGGGGTAGCCGTGTTAGTCTGAATCTGTAAAAAGCAACAGAGGGTCCTGTGGCACCTTTAAGACTAACAGAAGTATTGGGAGCAAAAGCTTTCGTGGGTAAGAACCTCACTTCTTCAGATGCAAGTAATGGAAATTTCCAGAGGCAGGTGTAAATCAGTAGGGAGATAACGAGGTTAGTTCAATCAGGGAGGGTGAGATGCGAACACCAAGGGAGGAGAAACTGCTTCTGTAGTTGGATAGCCATTCACAGTCTTTGTTTAATCCTGATCGGCTGGTGTCAAATTTGCAACCAGTTCATTTGCAAATTTGACACCATCCGATCAGGATTAAACAAAGACTGTGAATGGCTATCCAACTACAGAAGCAGTTTCTCCTCCCTTGGTGTTCACACCTCAACTGCTAGCAGAGCACCTCACCCTCCCTGATTGAACTAACCTCGTTATCTCCATACTGATTTATACCTGCCTCTAGAAATTTCCATTACTTGCATCTGAAGAAGTGAGGTTCTTACCCACGAAAGCTTATGCTCCCAATACTTCTGTTAGTCTTAAAGGTGCCACAGAACCCTCTGTTGCTTTTTCCATGGAGAGTGTGGAGATCATTGCACTCCAAGAGACTACAGCCAAAACAGATTTTAATGTAACTGCTGATACAGAATGGGGAAGGACCGGGGGGTGGAGGATTTCCATCACTCCAGGTGGAAGGGCTATCTCATGCTCACCTCCTCTGGATCACAAGAAGCTGCTGACCTCAGGGGGGCACCAAGACATTGTCACTTGGGCGCACACAGCTGAGCTGAACCCACTGCTTTTCACTTTCCAATTGTTTTCTAAGGTTGTCTTGTCTCTCTGCTTTTCTAGTAGGCCCCTAATTAGCACAATACAGGGCCCATTCACCCATCCCTGGGCTGTGTGCACAGGGTCCGTCTCCTCAGCCCTTGCCCTGGGGCGAGAGGGTTACATTTGTAGTCAGGACTTTGGATAGGTGCCTCTTCGGCTCCCTCTCCACTATAGCAGGGATCAAGCCTCCCAAGCTCGGGCAGACAGACTTGCACTAGCCGGGCTCTGGTTAGCGAGCTAAAAATAGCAGTGTGGACATTCTGGCTTGAACCCCGAGTTGGACCCCGTAGGCATCAGCGCCCCAGCTCCAGCCCAAGCCCAAGTCAGAACGTCCACACTGCTATTTTTAGCGTGCTAACTGGAGCCCTGCCAGTGCAAGTCTGTCTGCCCGAGCTCGGAGGCTCATTCCCAGCTGCAGTGTAGACACATCCTTAGTTCAGCCCAGTCTAGGCAGCACCATTGACAGAACTGGGTCCCAGGGCGAGGAGACTTGGTCCCAATCCCTCAGCTTGGCCTAGAGCTCAGTACGAGGTGACACTGTAGGAACGTGGGTAACGCAGCCATCCCCAAACCATTACTGCTCCCCACTCCACTGCATGTCCCCTAGTCATACCACTACAGGGAGCAGCCAGAGAAAGCACCTCCAAGTCCTTCCTGTCCCAAGCAATTCCCCATTTACGCCGCTCCTGGGGAGACCTCTATGCTGAGCACACCCACGGCATCAGCTCAAAAGTGACTAGCCCCCGAAGAGGGAAAAGCAGCCGGAGGCTTAAAAACAGGACGAAGATGTAAAAAAAACTAGCACGAACACACTAGGCACAGGTGCAAGGGGTGCTATAAAGCTTATCATATCACTTGCTTCGGAAGACCTGCATAACTCACTTGTGGCACTTCATGCGGCCACCCGGCACTTGTGGCAATAAAAGCTTTTCAGCGTTCCATGCCATTGCATAGTCTATCTGGATATACGGTTCTATTTATTGACGCTGGTCTTTGGAGCAGCTCAGATTGTTTTCCGGGGCATTTTAAATTTTTTCCCCATGGATCTTTTATCTGATGGCCAATAAATATATAAATAAATAAACAACATCTAAATTCTGGTATAAATTCTAACCAGCCCTGCTGCAGATGAAATAAACATGTCTCCCTTCCAACCAGAATGGCCCTGTCAGCCAGACCGGAGAACATTTAAATCAGCTCAACTTTCTACAACTGTCACCAACTACTGATCAAGACAGTAAATCCAGGCTCCGAAGGGTTTGCATATCAATGGGAACCCAGAATATACGGGTCTGCAGCTCAACTTCAGCACACTTACATTCTCTGATGGCACCTTCTAGAGATTGAGAAAAGTTGAATTATGTTATGCTTTATGTGCACACACCCACATAGGCTCTCTCTTGCTCTCTCTATCTCTCTCACACACACAGAGAAATACGGATGCTCCCCGACTTACGCAAGCGTTCCGTTCCGGAACGCCTTGCGTAACTTGAATTTTGCGTAAGTCGGGAACGTATACCCGACCATTATGCAAAAAACCCCAAAAAACACTTTCTAGCTTATGGAACTTACGGAACTTTTTCCATAAGTGCGGGTTTGCGTAACCCGGGGAGCGTCGCTAAAGAAAAATTGTACTGCTAGCTAACAAAAACATAACGCTGCCCCGCGCAGCCAGAGAAGTGAGAGGGGGGCAAAGGCCTGTGGGCTAACGAAGGGCTGTCCCCTGCTGAAATGTTTTCCTAGTGCTTTGGCCAACCTAGTTCTCAAAGTGCCTCAAGTGAGGAGACTCCTGCCGCCTGCCTTTGCAGACTGAGTGGGAGGCTCCATTCCTCAATGCAGCCGCATCTCTGAGAGACACACACACAGGGCATTCTCCACTGCCGTCTCCAGGTGCTCCTTGTAAGCCCACCCCTTTCACACCGAAACACCATGCCAGCTTATGGACATTTTGTCCCGAGCTTTAGCACCTACACTAGACTATGCAGGTGTACAGGACATTGCTGAGATTGTTACCCCTGAGTGAAGCAGGAGAGATTTAGGGTTTGGTGCAAGCTCAGGATTTCACATGGTTTTCTCAGAAATCATGATGGTTTCAGTCCAAGTTTGGCTTTGTTTACTGTAAACCTGTATTAACAATCCACAAGGGTCAGCTCTCCCCACAGCAGCCCAGTGAGTTTTGTAAAGCTCAAACCAGCAATAAAATCTCAGATAAACTGTCGCATGAAGTGTAAGGTACAGAAGGGATTTGTGACAAGAAGAAGAAGAAATGCAAATGTCTTCTCCCTCTTCCCAGCTTTCCTACTACTCATTTCACACAAGCATCAAGGGCTCCCAAACATACGGACAACAGGTGTCTTATTGCCACACTCCCAAACTGTCCACCCTGAGCCTACGCCACAAGCAGCTCACCCAAGGTATCCTCACTTGGAATTCCCCTGCACCCTGCGTGACCAGCTGCCAGGATGCCTGGCAGCCCATTAACTTCAGTGCACTAGCAAGTGCTGCTGAATGCACTGTGTCCTCTTGAGAGCTCGTGTTAATCCCTTTCAGGGGTGGCGGCTTCCAAAACAAAAAAGCTCCTGCTAGCAAAGACACCCAGCGCAGTTACCAACCCTGTAGGGCTCCCGATGACAGAGAAGGCCTTTCTGCAGCTCTCTGATCCATGCCATCTACAGTACACAACTTCCTCTATGATGAAGTGGGCATTCACCCACGAAAGCTTATGCTCCAATACTTCTGTTAGTCTTAAAGGTGCCACAGGACCCTCTGTTGCTTTTTACAGATTCAGACTAACACAGCTACCCCTCTGATACTTAGCTTCCTCTATGTTCCTTTTGCAAAGCCTCGGAGGAGAGTACTAGCTAATCAAGTGGCAGAATCCATAATCAGCATGGATGCATGCTCCTGCTAACCCAATTCCTAATGAGGATATGAAGGATGGGGCATCAGAACAAAACCCACTGCAGAACTGAAGGGCATTCCAGAAATACTCGGCTCCGAGAGACGGAGAGAAAGAACTGCCCTTCTCTCTCCCCTGCCGTGGCTGTGTTTGTCGAAATGATTTACTGCACCCACCGAGCTGGCGACAGGCTGAGGAGCCCCGACAACCCTGAGGATGGAAGATACTGTAGCATCGCACGCTCATAACACAATCTCAGCAAGTCACTGGAATGGAATGCATCAGATTCAATTCATTAGGACTGATAGCTCCCTGAATGGGGCTGAATAATTGATGGGCTGTAGAAGCTTTTAAGATGTTCTGTACGCTCGGAAGACTGAGTGTATTATTTTTTTAAAAGCTAACACACACAGCAAAACCCCAACGAAGGTGATCTGAGCAAAGGTTAGATGTTTTAATACTTTGTGTTTACACTGTCAATTCTTGCTCCATTGCTTGTAATGGGAAATGGATACACTATGGAGAGGGGCAGCAGAGGGAGCGGCAGGAACTGAACTAATTCACTGGGGCTGCAGTAGCTAACCCAGAAGGATGGGAATTGATCTTGGACCCATGTAACGTTTGCACTGCAAGGCCACGGTCTGGCCGAAGAGCCCATGGTGTGTTCAATGCAGGGCCGGCTCCAGCATTTCTGCCGCCCCCCACCCCCCCCAAAAAAAGAAGCCGCGATCAGCGGCGGCAGTTCAGCGGCAGGTCCTTCGCTCCTAGAGGGAGTGAGGGACCTGCCGCCCCCGAATTGCCGCAGGTGCCGCCCCTCTCCCTTGGCCGCCCCAAGCACCTGCTTGTTAAGCTGGTGCCTGGAGCCGGCCCTGGTCCAATGGAGCAAGACGCTTCCCTGCTTGGCTTATCGACCTTCATCCCACAGCAGCAACGTGCTCAAAATTATTCGAGTGCGACCCTTGCACTGCCTGGGCCCCCAAAGGTGCCACCCATGGGGAAGAAGTTGTACATGTGCAACTGAGCACCGGGAGCTCTTGGTGCCCCCAGGGCTGTGGGTGGGAGGCAGACTAGTCCGTGCAGCCGAACGGTCCAGAAGAGCGTGGGAGGGGAGAGGTGCCCCATGCAACATCTGTCAAGATTGCCTGGGACTGGCAATTGGCAAAGGCTTCGGCAACAAACATCTCACAGGCAGGAGATTGGGGATCTTCCAGCAGCGTTCCTGACTGTTACCCTTTCTCCCCTCCCCACAGCTGGGCTCCCCAAGACCAAACCAGGCTGAGGTGACTGTGCCCTCTTGGCCTCCCACCCTAGTAAAACCCAGGGATGGTGGGACAGCTCTGACTCTCTGGTGTGCGCGCGTCAGAGAGAGAACGCCAAAAGGACAATGCTGAAATTAGCCAGCTGGGCTGCTGGCTACAACAGGCACCTCCCTGAAAGTCCCCTGCAACTAGCACGGGAGACTCAAAGAACTGGCAGGACACCAGGGTAGGAGAGTGAGTCCCCTGTTACAGCCAGGGGCAGCTTTAGAGCTCCCAGCCTCCTACCTTTCACGGTAACGTGGACGCTCTGGCTGATGGAGAGCTGCGGCTGGATCAGGACGCTGCAGAGATACTCCCCTTCATCCATACCCTTCTGCACATCCATCAGCTTAAGGGTCCCGTTCTCAAAGACCACCTGGCGGTGGTTATCTGGCAGCAGCACGGCGTCCTTGTACCACTTGATGGAATAGTATGGATACCCGATCACCCTGCAGTTGATGAAGGTGTCCCTACCCGCCACTGCCGTTATATTCTTCATGGCTCGGATACTCGGGGGACCTAAATTGTGGGAAGGATGAAAGAGGCAGGCTAGGTTAATTCCGAAGAGCAATTTGTTTGTACACAGATCTGTTGCTATTTCAGAGCACATTTCATAGGCAAATGAGGCAAGATAAACACTTAGGGTTTGCTCGTGTTTGGGAAGGGGGAGGCAACAGCTCAAAGATGGGGGAGCCCCCCGCCATCCTGCACGCACTCAGAAATTGCAGAGCCAGCTTTTGACAAACTTTGGCACCAGTCACTGGTGCACAAAGGGTGAGCTATTCCAAAGCGCTGACACGGCCTAGGAGCACGCGCCCCACTGAAAGTCACTGGGACATGTGCTCCGGAACCACTTAGGTGCTTTTTAAAATCACAGCCAAATTGTGTGGGTGTCGCTTCCATGCTCAGCTGTGAAAGTTCTGTCCCCGGGGCTCTCTCTGCATACCTCTGATCCCACCCCTGCTAATGCTAGGGACACACTGTATGTTCCTGCGCTGCTTCCCTAAGCTCCATTCTAACACTCCCAGCTGCCCTGCATGTCTCTTTAAAAACAAAGCTACCCCTCTTTTGCTGAAGGAATATGCCGGGAGCAGAACCTTACGCCACCAACCTCAATTGCAAACTATTTTACCTCAACTTTAAAAATCAGCCTCCCTGAACCTCCAGCTGGGGATCCACCGCTTAGCAGTTTCTATCTGGCTTTGAGACTGGTTTATGGATCAGGAGAACACTACACTTGAGTATTTCAACACCATGTTTCTTAGATCAACAATCATATTGTTCTCCTGTTTATCAGCTGTTGCCTAAATGAAACAGCAAACTAATACTCCACCTACAGTGTAAAGATCAACTATATCTTGGCTCCCAGCCTGAGGCAAACTGCAGAACTCCCAGCTTATCAGGTGTGCAGGATGCTCTTACGGAAGATCCATTTCCTTGGCATGTAAAACAAACGCATTCAAAAGCAGTTTGCTGCTTTCGCTTTTTAATGATTTTCCTCTCTCTCCTACCCACTCTCTCCAAAAGTTACTGAGAAGGGATTCCACAATTGGGGGAGTTTTTCTGGAAACTCTGAAAATAAGATGAGATTGGGGGGGGGGAGGCAGAAGTGGGGGACGGTGCTTTGGTGACACTTTCTCATGTTCTGGTAAAGCCACCACTTCTAATGCTCCAAAGCAATTGGGAAATAATATAAAAAATGGATTTAAAAACTCTCTTTCTGCCAGCCGTCGCTCTGGGGTGCCGATGGGATACGACTTCAAAAACGGAGAGTCCATCAAAAGAAAACACCCGGCAAAGAAAAAAAGCATCTTATAAGAGGCATCAGCCATAAAGTTCTCCCCTGAGCACTGAAGAGGAAAAGGGCTGCACACCCCCAGACAGTTCTGGGGTGGAGTGGAAACAATCCAGGCAACTAGAGCTCCCAACACTGCCTGCCTCTAGCTTGACTCAAATTCAGCACCGGTAGCTTCAGACCCAGCTAAGTCACATAGAGCAAAAAGAACAGGAGTACTTGTGGCACCTTAGAGTTAGTCTCTAAGGTGCCACAAGTACTCCTGTTCTTTTTGCGGATACAGACTAACACGGCTGCTACTCTGAAACCTGTCACATAGAGCAGCCATTACTCGGGAACACACCCCCATGCATTGCACTGGCCATGGAACGCTGGCTTCCTGACCAGCAGAAAAGGAAGGGTGTGGGTGGGTGTGTAAAAGTGGGAATAAATTTGACAGAGGACTTGGAAAAGTTTTAAAAACTTGCTCCTGATAAACAGCCCCTTGGCCCTGTCGGAGAGATGTGCACATACCCAGACTAAGGAACCCTGCATTCTCATCTAGGGATTTGTAGTTAAAAAACAAAAACAAAAAGTTCAACAACAAACTTTACTAGTGGTTCCCATTGCTAAGCGATGAACTTGCTCCAGATTTAGTGATAAACGGCTGCCAAAGCCCAGCTTCCCCGGACTTCCAGACAAACACCACTAGATCCATGGCAAACCGGAGACACAGATGAACACGGCCATTCAAACTTGCTTCTGGTAGATAAAATAATGTTACTTTTGGCTTTGTCTAGTTCATACCTATACAATTAGAAGCGTTAACTGTTAACGGTCACCGGCTAATACTGTACCTTGTGTCTTAGAATTTTGCCCACCAGAAGTCCCTGTAATGCAAAGAACAGCATGCTCCAACCATAACAAGAGGAATGATTAACAGCACAATGGATTTTAGCAGACAAAGAAAATACAGCTATGACAAATCAAAGAGAAAATTCAGCTCATTTGTCATGATTTAACAAATTGGCTCGCCATCGGGTTTAATACACATCCCAACACTGATGGGCAGTTAGTGCTGGGAAGGAAGGACAGAGTCCGAGTTAGGAGGTGGACAGGTCAGAGGTGAGGCAGGGCCCCAAAGCACTGTGCAGTTAAAACAAGTAGGGGAAAGTTAGGCAGAGGCCGTGCAGGGCACATTCCCGCTGGCCATCACAACTGCTCACACTCTGGGACTGGGCACATGATCAGCTAGAGCCCCTCTCCAGGGGAACAGACATTTACCAGCTGCACTTTGATCAACAGCATGAGAGCGAAGTGGGGGAGTGCACTAGCTCTCATCTCTGGGGAGCCGGTTCCAAATCCTCCCAGGGCTGTAGTGGGAATTAAATTGGTGGCTCCTCCCAAATGCAATAGTTGGTGCAGTTGGCAATATCTGCTCAGAAACCAATGGCCGGTATTGCTGGGGGTGCTGCAGAGGACACTGCAGGTTAGGCCCAAGATGCATTAGGATTAGGAGGGAGGAGAAGAGGGATTTCTCCCCACTGCCCAGATTGAAATAGTAGGAGGTGGAGCAGATCAGAGTGAGTTGCACTGGCAAAGCCGAGGCAGTGGGGCAGGACTGGAAGGGGGGTGCTGCAGGTCAGGACTGGGGTGCATTGGCAGGGCGGGGCATATGAAGCTCACACTCTTCCTAACTTCCGGCAGCAAAATCCTGCACTTTGATGAACGTTAACTTCTCCCACAAAATTTGCAGAAAAAGAAATGGAAAGGACATGCAGCTTGAAGGTGGAAATTGCAAAGAATTTCTCTGGTATGTGACAGCCGCCAGCTCTGGGGGCGTCTGGATCTGCAGTCTGCCCCAATGTAGCCCTGGAACGTAGCCCCTGAGGAGCAGGGAACCACGTGGCCCTGAGATGCACGGGGCTTCCTCAGTCAGCACCTCTGCAGCACGGTGACCCTGACAACGCCCCAGGAACAGTGCAGAGCCACTCTCCGAGAGCTGGCCCACGAGCCAGGGCTCTGCTTTACAAACTGAGCCGTTTGCCTCACTGTTACAAAATGTTTGGAATGGGAGAGCCGAGCACCTCGGGACGGCTAGCCAGGCCAAGCCGGGGCCCATCCAGCCCAGTCTCCAACAGCGGCCAGCACCAGATGCTTCAGAGGAGGGTGCAACCCATTTCCCACTGCTGAAGCTTAGCTTCGGGAGAGCAGCGTGGGGTTCACCACACTCCTCAGGACTGTCGATGTCCACAATAGCCACGTAAACACCCGATTCTTCTGGGATTCCTGCTAAGCTTTTGGCCTCAATATTATCTTGTGGCAATGAGTTCCGTAGGCTCCCCACGTCCTGCTTCACTTGATGAACCACGGGGAAGGTTTGTTCAACCAAGTGCATGCTAATGATTTGAACAACTTTAAAAGTACAGCAGGGCAGTGGGGGAGCTGGGTGGAATGGCACAAAAGAAGAGAGATTCTACCAATAAACAGAACAGAACAAAGCCCAGTATGAGTCCTATGCTGATATTTAAAAGTAGACAGGCACCTCTTACGTTTATTCGCGCTTGGTATTCGGCGCTGCCCACCGAGTTCCGCGCGGCGCACCGGTACACCCCTCCATCCTTGATCTGCGGGCTGGTCACGTTCATGTGGCTCACGGTGGTGCCGTCCGACATGGTGTACTGATTGGTGCGGTGCCCGTTGTCCCTCTGGATGGGCTCATCGTCCAAGGCCCAGGTGATGGTGGGTGGGGGAGCGCCTTTGGCGGCACACATCAGGGAGAACTGCTCGCCCGGGTTGACCACTTTCTCGCTGAAGGAGGAGACGATCCGGGGGGTCCCGTCTAGGAGAGACACCCGGTGAGGGGCACGTTAGGGCTTCAGGCTGGGGCCCTCGCAAGCAGCTGCGTTTAGGCACAAGCTTGACTGAGGGTTTTAAACACTGCTTAGACTGTCCGTTCTCTGGGGACAGGGGCATCCTGTCCTGTTTGTCCAGGGCCCAGCACAACGGGGTTCTGGTCCAGGGCTGTGGCTCCTAGTGGTTCCGCGACACAGATAAACAACAACAAACCAACGGGGTGAACGTGCTTGACATGCCATGGGCCCCACCAGGGCCCCACCATGCCCAGCCTGCATTCCCCAGGGAGGAGGGCTGCTGCTTTCAAAGGGGCTGGGGAGAACCGGGGGGACATCAGATGAGACATAAAAGGGAGCGTGAGAGGGGCAGGGACACAGGGCCCATCCTGCCCCCGGCACATCCGCACGAGGGAAGGACACTGCTTGGGAGGCAGAGGCGGGAGAATGCCTTAAGGGAGGATGGGCCCACACCTAAGGCCAGGGCACCACAATGAGCCCCATCTGGGCAGCTCCTCCTTTCCCCACTGTCGCTTATTTTGCTTTCTTGGTACAGACCCTCCCTGCAGAGGACAGGGCCCAGCTATGGTTCTCTCCCTGCAGTTACTACAGCAGCTTACACTAAAGTCCTGGCCACCTGTCATCAAAAGCGCCCTGGGACCTTCACTAAGGGACAGCACCTTCCTGACCACACCATGTCTGGTAAGTATATTTTGCCTCACCCAACTCCTCCTGCAGACGGGAATTCTTCTTCCCTCCCTTTCCTGAAATACTGGGCAGCATTGCTAGGTGCTGTTAAATAACTGTTGGTTCCCCCCCAGAGACGGCTGCATTTCAGTGCTGGCTTGAGTGACCCTTACATCACATGGGCATTGCATGGCATAGTTCAGTGAATTGTTGTGAAGCACCTTGGGAGCGCTGGGAGCATCCAAGCACTTGGGCAAAGCACGGGAGCGCTTGGCATAGCAGAATCTCTTCGCTTCCAGGTGCAGAAGTGGGCAAACCTTGCCAGCACAGGATGCAGAGGGGTGTGTGGAGACAGCTCTGGAGCCCACTGGCCAGTACACACAGGCCAGGAAGCAGGGGAGTAGGGTCTAATTAAGAGGCAACATTCTCCTCTCCTAGGGATGCTGTAAATCTCCCCTGCACTTGTTCTGCACACAGAGCTTCCAGGGGTGGCAAAGGACGCTGGAGAGACCCTCTGACTCCCCTCCTCACCGTCATGCCCGGGAAGCCGACTCACCCTCCAGCGCGATGAGGGAGAAGTCCTGCGCCGTTTGGGCTTTCCGGGTGGCGAAACACTGGTAGGCCCCAGAGTGGCTCTTCTGGGCGGCAGTGATGAGGAGGGTCTCGTTGCTAATCCCCCGGATGGAGATGTAGTCGTCCAGCACCACCAAGTCTGTGTTGCGGTACCAGCGGAGGGCGTACTCGGGCGAGCCGCTGAGGGCGCAGGAGAGGATGACTGTGCTGCCAATGCCGGTCTTCAGCTTCTTTGGCGTGAGGCTCACGTGCAGAGGGTCTGTGCAAGACAGGGTGGGAGGCAAGAGAAAAAAACGCTCAGGGCTCATGGCCTGGGGAAAGGATCTAGCAATGGTGGAGGGCCCCGGGGAAGCCGAGTGGCGCCAGCCGAGTGGCCCCATCACGCTGAGCGGCAGCAAGGTCTCCTTTCTACTCCCTGGGCTGCAGCAAGAGGATGCCAGCAAGCTGCTGTGGGGAAGCCTGCAAGTGACCAGCCGCAGCGAGCGCAGCAAGGCCTTGGCTTCACTAGGAACCAGGGGTGTTTTCAACCCGCGCTAGTGAGCACACGCTCAAGTCCGAGTGTAGACAAGGCCATTTGCATTCAAACGTGTGTTCGCTGGCCGGGGTCAGGAGTCTGCCTCGACCAGCCAACTCCTGGGAAGGGCGGACCGGCTGCAGGCCCAGCCCCTGCTCCTAAGCCTTTCCATTAGCCACTGAGTCGAGAGCAAGCGTTGCTTTGGCGAGGGGAAAGGGGGCTTGCTGGAAGCAGGAGCCTTACACAAAACCTACCCCCGATGGGGGGTAGATGGGGGGGCCCGGAGGAGCCATCACAGTGCAGGGGGCAGGGCGAGGCTGGCGTGGCGGCCGGCACCGGCTCGGCGGGGAGATGGAGCGCTCCTTGCACAGCGCACTCTGAGAGTCCCTTGATTAACGTGGTCTCTCTCCCTGCTCTCCCCGGGAAGCATTAGCCTGACTGCACGTGAAATGTCAGTGCACAATAAGCCAGGTGTGTCCCTGACCTTCCTCAGAGTCTGCAGCAAGGGCCCCTCATCTTAATGTCACCCCCACACACGCTCCTCTGCGCGGTGCGGGCAACATGCCCACCGGCCAGGAGCGCGGGGGGCAGGCAGTGCCTCCCCTGTGTATCGTTTTCGCTCTGACTGCACAGGAGCTGCCCTGGCAGGCGTGAAGAGGCTGGCTGCGTTTGGAAGTAGACATCACGGCGGGCTGACGTGCTAGGTGTGACAGGCCTGCTCTGAGCAGAGACTTCCCTGGAGCTGCTCACTAAGCATGCTGCTGTGTTGGGTGGGGCCTCCCCTTGTGATCCAGCCCATGCACACCCGCCTGCTCCTCCACAAACACGCAGAACATGCTGAGCGTCGCTGCAAGAGCTGGGGCAAACATGCCCCCCATCCCCAGGGGCATGCTACACAGCTGGGTTACTGGGGACAGAGGAGATCCCCAGGACCAAAGTATGCAATAAATATATGCCCTCCCCAGACAGAATTTACTGGTTGGCTGGAGTTTATTCAATATAAAATCAAACAAAACACAGCATGCAGGCCTCTAGTATAAAACTAACACTAATAACCCAACCAGTCACACGCTGAAAGGCTCTCAACGTAGCGCTCTGGTTTTCCACCAATCCCGGTCTGTTTCCTCCATTAAAATGGTAAATCCGGGGCTTGCTGAGATATTTTGCTGTGATATAAATAAACAAACTTCTTTCAAATGCTCTGAGCTGTGCAGGTAACAACACACTGTGCTCCGGCACACAGCACAGTTAACGTCCCGAGCCTGCAACGTTCAAAGCTTTGTACAACAGCCAGGGCCAAGAGGGCTATTTCATTTTGATCACCCATCCATCTCATGCAGTTCTGGAACGGAGACAGCAATAGCCATGCTAGAATCCCCCAGAACCGCCTGCCCCATGCAAATGAACAGCCCTGGGATGACCTCAGGCGTGTCTCCAGATTCCTGACCAGAACTTTGGAACAACCCAAGAGGGGGCTGCCCCCAGACAATCCATCCCAGGTTTAACAGAGGGCCAAGGAATGCTGGGCCAGGACTCTGGGAGGTTAGAGAGGATCCTCCCCACTCCCCTCCCCCGTGGCATGATCAGTGAAATCCAGAGTTGTGCACCTCACTATTGCTAAGGTTTAAGGAGAAGCCAGTAAAATGGGCCATAACACTAACACACAGAACATAACCCAAGGCATATAAAACCCACGCAGGCCAAGGCATCTGGGCAGCCCCAAACCCAACATGCAAGAGAGAAGAGAAATCAAAACTCCGTTGCAGCACTGGGCTATCTGACAGCAGTCATGATTCCCCTTTAACGCCCACTTTGGCTGATTGTTCAGGCTCTGGGGAGTCCAGGTAGCCCCTTTCTGATCTGAGCAGTGATGGGCCTGAACCGTGGACATCAGATCCAGACTGGAATCCCACTTGACACAAAGTCTGGAAGTGGGAGGGGGTGGGATCCACCATCTTGGCCCATGCAAAGCTCCAATATTAATAAAATGAGATGAACAAAACCCAGGATTACTGTCTCTGAAGAGATGGATGGATACTTTCTAGAGATGTGCTCACCTCCTATTCCCCAGATGTGCCCACTGCCCCCAACCCCCAGTCCCCAGATGTACGATGGAGAGGCCCATAACTTTACATTCTCCATTGTTTGGTCGGCTCTCACCTATGACTGTGAGGGTCCCGGTGACCTCTGCCGACCCGAAGGTGTTTGTGACCTCACAGATGTACATCCCACTGTCCTCCACGCGCAGGTCACTGATTGTCAGTCCTGTGATGCGCTTGGTCCACCTGCTGTCTGCAGGGAGTGGGCGCCCGTCCTTGATCCACCGGATGGCTGGGTTCGGGTACCCAGAGGCGATGCATGGAAGCTCCACCAGCTGGCCTGCCTTTACCTCCCTGGACTGAAAGCCATCTAGGATGGTAGGAATGGATTCTGCTGGGTCTAAGAGCAGAGAGGAAACAAACTGCTCAGAAGCAGATATGGAGCAAAGGCCGACACACCCTTCCTTCAGCCTGCACCATCTGGCTGGTGCATTGCGTGGGCAAACTAGAGTGTTTGGTTATAAACACTGGGGACCCAGGAGTCCAGGACAGAGATACTGGGGAAAGCCTGTGCTTAGTGACCTGGGGGCAGCCACAACCACAGAACTCAGCTACAAACTCTCCAGACACAGGCTCTCCTCCTCTGAAGGCCCCTGGGTATCCTAGATGGCAGGACAGCCCATGGCATGGCCAGGAATGGGACAGCCAGCTGCGGCCCTGGGTCCAGAATGAACACATGCTGCTGCTTTCGGGCTGGCCAGTGCAACCCACCTAGCCTACGATCTCAGTTGGGGCCCTGCCAATTGCAGCACGGCTTGCATGCCTAGTGGGGTAGGGACAGGTGTGAGCAGGAAGGCAGGTGGGAGCCTAGCGTGTACTCAGCGAGCAGGGCGACTGGCCTAGGAAGGGGCAGTACCTGGGCTGACCTCCCCACTCCCCCCCACTTCTCTTCCCAGGAAGGCAGGGAGACACACACACTATGAGAGGGTGGGATAAATACAGCACAGTAGGAACTACGCAAGGTGACCTAACTGGTGCAAAAGACACAAATTCTGTGGTAAGTTTCAAAATTTACAAGGACAGGGGCCCATCGGGCGGCCAGGAGCAGAGAAAATTAACCACTGAGTCTCAGGCATGAAATTCAATTCCAGGGGAAAGATACGGCTTTCATTGCACCCACGCTGCAGTAAAACACCATGACATGGAAATACCGGCCGTGGCCAGCATGGGGCCAAGCCAGATTGAGCGCCCCCGCCCCAAAACAGAACACACCCCAGCATGGGAGAGGACAGCGCAAAGCCCGGGAGGGGTGAGTGGGGGGGGGGTCCTGTCCATATGAGAAGACAATATGAAGCCTGGTGAGTGGGACTGGGGGGGTCTTGTCCTCAGAAGAGGACAGAGCAAAGCCCAGGGAAGGGGCGGTTCCTGTCCATGCCCGTCAGGTGGGGGCACATACTAGTAAGGGGTCTGTACTTCTGGTCTGCCCAGCTGCTCACTCTGTGGCACAGCATGACACTCCTGGCGGCTAATCTAGCTCCACTCCTTCCCCTGGGCCTGCCTCCTCGTGGGCAGATGTTGCCAACAGGGGCCACAGGGCCCTGCCCTTCAGACAGCTACTTCGCTCAGTAGCCATGGGGCGGCAAGGCAGTAGCTCTTGGATACTAACGACAATGCGCAGGTCCTCAGCTGAGAGGTGCATTGGGGAAGCACACGGTGCCCAGCAAACATGATTTAACCCTCGCAACCCCGCTGTGGGATAGCTACATATTATCCCTCTGCTACTGATCGGGCATGGAGATAAAAGTGACGTGCCCAAGGTCACACAGCGAGTCTGTGCCAGAACCTAGGAGCCCTTCTTCCATTCTCCATCCGCCCCTCTGCTCACCAGAAGCCCACACTGTACAGCCAGGGCACAGACATCAACCAGTTAACACAGGAGCCCAAACCAACACAAACAAGGCCAACAAACATATGGTCGAGAACTAGGGATTCGAAGTTGATTGGTGCAAGGGGTGATTTGAATTCAAGCCGAGTGAAGTCCCTCCCGATTAGAGTAACTTGGGCAGGCAGTGACGCCTGGAGCTCCCCGCGACACCCGGCAATACAGACTGCGCTGTCTGCTGCAGTATCACTTGCATCTTCGTCACATCGCATCGGGCTGCTCACATACCGGCCTGTCACATCACATCACATCACAGCCCGGTGTCATGCTGCACGGCTTGCCAGGCTACCCAACTGGCAGCTGTACTTCACTTCCAGGTTTGGGGGGGGAGGTGGAGTGGGGCGAGGCTGGAAGACAGGTGGGCAATTCGCTCGGCAGATGAGCTAACTTAGATGAAAGGCGGCTGCATCTGGTTCTGCACAGAGAGCTGCCACTAGAGTGATCCTGCTCTGGCCAGCCAGACCTGAGCCAAAGCCCCTGCACCGCTTCCAGTACGTCCTGAGGATGTACCAGGAATGCAGGGGGTGTCTGTGCCTTGTTCAAAGAGCTGACTCCCAATCTCATTAACCTCCACGCAATCGCCTCCAGCGCCCCGTCCCGTGTCACTTTGGGGGGAGTCAGTGGACAGCAGGGAAGGGGGAGGACAAT